TGGCTGCGAAGAAAAAGAAAAACACAGAGGCATTCCGTGCCGACTTTGAGAGTTTTGAGCATCCTTTTGTAGAGAAATATTGTGAGGAATTTAAGAGTTTGTTTGAGGGTTTAGGTTGTGAGTGATTCTAAACCCTAGTTGTAATCTCTCCCTCTAATAGTAGATCTCCCTCTCCTTGCCCCGTGAACGTAGGCAATTTGTCGAACCACGTAAAATTGGTTGTATCGCTATTTATGTGATTTGTAATAGCTTTTAGGTTCCCTCGACAGGTCAGTCCTAGAACTGATGAGAGGAAGAGCTGATATCCCTCGACAGGTCAGTCCTAGAACTGATGAGAGGAAGAGCTGATATCTCACTTGGTTGAGATATTTTGTTTAAGGTTCTTGTTTCCTTTGTGAATGATGAGAGGAAGAGCTGATATCTCACTTGGTTGAGATATTTTGTTTAAGGTTCTTGTTTCCTTTGTGAAGCAGGATTTCCTATTTTGGCCTGACTCTCTTGTTGTGCTGCCAAAGTGCTGCTGAAATTTTCGCTACGCGCAACAAGTGGTATCAGAGACCATATTTCATATCTAGGGTGTTTTGGATTAGGTGGAGGAAGATTCAGTTGGAAGCTTGGTTCTTAGAGTTCTAGGCTTCGGTGGAGATAGCATTAGGAGTTGCCATTGGAGATTTCACTTTCCTCGTGTAGACAGGAGATCTATTTGGAATCCAATCTAGGGTTCAGTTTAGTGATTCCTAATTTCTATTAAATTTGTTCTTTCTCTACAATTTGGAGTTAGTTTGCAATGAGAGAAGAAGGTGAAAGCAGCAAGTCGATGGCGAGTATAATACAAGTTAGTTTTCAGAACACTAAGATTAGTGTGGTGAAGTATGACGGTAAAATCAACTTTGGTTTGTGGATGAGCGACGTACAAGATGCGCTCAATACTCAGAATTTGGAAGAGACCATCATGGTCCACGAGAGGCCACTTAAATATGATGAGGCGATATGGGAGAAGATGAATAGGAACACGTGTGGGGGTGATCAGGTCCTGTTTGAAACAAGAACTGAAATATGATATGATTGGGGTGACGCCTGCAATGAAGATGTGGGAAATTCTCAACAACAAGTATCTTACGAATAGTGTTGAGAACAGGTTGCACTTGCTGCGAAGACTCTTCAGATTTCAGATGTCCAAAGGAACCTCACTAGCAGCGCATGTGAACAACTATACTAAGTTGTTGTCGGACTTGACAAATATTGATGAGAAGATTTCGGATGAGTATAAGGCTATTATCTTATTGGGCTCCTTACCGGATGAAGAGTATAATACCTTCGTGCTCACTTTGTTGAACGGAAGATCTTCTATCAGCTATAGTGAAGTGACTAACGCTTTGACGAACTACGATTTGAGGAGGAAGGATAAGGAGACTTCCCGCGCTAGTACTTCAGGAAAGGCCTTGTCGACGAGAGGTAGAAGCCCATATCCGAAAGGTGGTAATGGAGGGAGGTCAAAGTCAGGAAACCACTGCCAATTAGCAAAGAACCAATGTGTATTCTGCAATGAGCAGAGATATTGGAAGAGAGACTGCCCGAAGCTCAAGGAGAAAAAGAATAGCAATAAAAAGGGTCCGAAGGCCAATGAGGTGAACGTTGCGAAAGGCGATGATTCCGATGATTCGTGCTTTTCTCTATTGATTACTCCGGAGGTGAACCATGTGGATGCATCAGATTGGATGCTTGATTCCGGTACTACTTATCATGTGACCCCTAGGCGAGACTGGTTTGCATCTTTGGAGAAAGTCGACGGGGGTATTGTTGTTATGGAAAATGATCAATCTTGTGGCGTTTGTGGGATAGGTACCGTGTGGATTAGGATGCACGATGGAGTAGTCCGTAAGTTGAATGAGGTGAGATTTGTTCCTCAACTAAAGAAAAATCTTATCTCAGTTGGAGCTTTGGAGGTGAAGGGATTCAATGTGACTTTCGAAAACACTGTAGCGAAGGTTACTAAGAGATCATTGGTGGTGATGAAGGGAGTCCGCAATAGGAATTTGTATTATCTGAAGGGAAGCATCGAGATTGGCCAGGTTGCTTCAGCTATTTCAGAAGCAGACATGAGCAGACTTTGGCATTATAGGTTGGGGCACACAGAAGAGAAGTCACTGTAAGTTTTGTGCAAGTAGGGGCTATTGAAGGGAGCCAAGAGTGGTAAAGTAGAATTCTGTGAGCACTGTGTTCTTGGCAATAAGACGAATGTGAAGTTCGGGACGACCATTTATAAGACGAGGGGCATCTTGGACTACGTACACATAGATGTTTGGGGTCCTACCAAGACTACATCATTTGGTGGTCGACATTTGTTCGTCACGTTTGTTGATGACTATTCTAGGCATTGTTAAGTGTACACCATGAAGCATAAGAATGAAGTCCTAGATTTGTTTGTGGAGTGGAAGAAGAGATTAGAACTACAGACTGGAAGAAGAGATTAGAACTTACATATGCGAGCTACCTCATTAATAGGTTGTCTTCATCTGCGATTGAGGGGGAAATCCCTATGGAGAAGTGGTCGGGAGAGCCAGCACACGACTATGATCAGCTCAAGGTATTCGGGTGCCCTGTATTTTATTATGTGAGAACAGATAAATTAGAACATCAAGATAGGAAGGCTATATTTGTAGGATTCAAGCGTGATGTCAAGGGATACAAGCTTTGGGATCCAGTTGATAAGAAGATTGTGCTGAGTAGGGACGCCACGTTTGATGAGGCTTCTATCTTGAAGCATCTCATCTCTCATCAGGTGGAGAGTGACCCGACGGAGGAGATATCCCAGTTGGTAGAGATCGATGCAGCTCCACATTATCCAGATGGTACGGTATCCATTAGAGTGCCGGCTGAGATGACACCAGGCGAGCATGACGTTGACATAGGGGATACGAGTACTGATGTGCAGGATCAGGGACCAACGGCTCAGGTTTAGGATTCGATTACGGTTCGGAGACAGAAGAGAAACATACAATGCCAGCATGGTATGCCGACACAGTTATGTATGCACTTCCGGTGGAGAGTATCGATGAGTTGGTGCCTACTACATTCAGAGAGGCTGAGTAGAGTTTGGCGGCTGACTCGTGGCAGGTGGCTATACAGGAGGAGATGGAATCTCTTCATAAGAACGATACATAGGATCTTGTTGAGCTTCCAAAAGGGTGGAAAGCAATTGGTTGCAAGTGGGTATACACGAAGAAGGAGGGCATTGAGAGCACTCCATTGAGGTTCAAAGCTTTGGTTGCAAGTGGGTATACACGAAGAAGGAGGGCATTGAGAGCACTCCATTGAGGTTCAAAGCTAGATTGATTACGAAGGGCTATGCACAGGAGGAAGGTATTGACTATAATGAGGTTTTCTCTCCGGTGGTGAAGCATTCTTCGATTCGGATTTTGCTAGCTTTGGTGACACAGTATGGTTTGAAGTTAGATCAGTTGGATGCGAAGACGACATTTCTTCATGGTGATCTTGATAAAGAAATATATATGACTCTGCCATTAGGATTCCGAGCTGCATGGAAAGAAAAATTGGTTTGCAGATTAAAGAAATTTCTATACGGTTTGAAACAGTCTCCTCGACAGTGATATAGGCGATTCAATGGTTTTATGATTGGTCATTCATATACTCGGAGCCAGTTTGATCCTTGTGTATATTTTCGCAAGTTGAAAGGATGTGCGTACATCTATTTGTTACTTTATGTCGATGATATGTTGGTTGCCTCTATTTCCAGGTCGGCTATAGATGAGTTGAAAGTTCAGCTTTCAAATGAGTTTGAGATGAAGGACTTGGGCGAGGCGAAGCGCATTTTAGGAATGGAGATCGACAGAGACAAGAAGAAGGGCAAAATTTGTTTGACACAGGTGGCTTATTTAAAGAAGGTTCTACAGCGATTCCATGTTAGCATGGATACGAAGCCAGTTAGTGTACCATTGGGAGCCTATTTGAAGCTTTCAGCTGGTCTTTCACTGAAGTCAGTTGAAGATCGTGAGTTGATGTCGAAGACTCCATATGCGAGCGTAGTTGGGAGCTTGATGTATGCGATGGTATGTACGAGGCCAGATTTGTCATAGGCGGTGAGCATGGTTTCGAGATACATGCACGATCCAGGAGTAGGTCATTAGGACGTCGTGAGATGGATTTTGAGGTACATTCGAGGTACGCTCAATGTTGGTTTAGTTTATGAGCGGGACACTACAGGTGGGCATCTATGCATTGGTTATGTTGATTCGGATTATGCCGGGGATTTGGATAAACGCCGGTCTACGATGGGGTATATATTCACTTTGACCCGTGCACCGGTGTGTTGGAGATGCACCTTACAGTCGACGGTGTCTTTGTCTACGATGAAAGCAGAGTATATGCCATTTACGGAGGCTGTGAAGGAGGCTATTTGGCTTCGAGGACTTTTGGAGGAACTTGGTATATCGCAGAGGTCCGTCACTATTTATTGTGATAGCATGAGTGCTATCTATTTGGCGAAGAATCATGTTTTTCATACGAGGACGAAGCATATTGACGTTCGTTATCACTTCATTCGAGATGTTCTTGAGGATGGCGATGTGGAGATTGTGAAAGTCCACACGAAGGATAATCCGACGGATATGCTCACTAAGGTGGTTCCGAGCAACAAGTTTGATCATTGTCGAAACTTGTTGCACATTAGTGATTGTTGAGGCCGTTGACGGCCATTTGGGTGAACTACGTTCGGCTTGATTCCTTGGGCAAGAGGATACGTAGACAGTCATGTTTGATGCTGTAATAATTCTAAGTTTTAAGATAGATATATATAAGGAAAAGTATATGGGCTTTTATGTAAAATTAGTTAGAGGGTTATAATAGCAAAAAGGGACCTTTATAAATACCCAAACCCTACCCTTCTTTCCCCGTCAGCGCTTTCCTTCCTTCTCTCACTTTTCGCCCGCACGCTCTCACAAAAAAAAAAAAAAAATAAATAAAAAAAAAATAAAAAAAAAAAAAAAAAAAAAAAAAAAAAAAAAAAAAATCCGTCACAGTCTTGCTGTCTCTGTTCTTCCGCGCACACAAAAAAAAAGAGAGGAGGAAGCCTTGTTTTGACTTTTTCAGCCATGCGAAGCTTTTAAGAAAAATAGAGATATATTAATCAAGGTATAAATTATTTATTTATTTTAACTTTTCTCTCCTGATATTTTCAATCCATGGCATGGCTGACACAAGAGATTATTACTACTCTTACTTTTATTATCTTCATGCATTATATTATGATTCGTAGCATATAAGTATATGGATTCATGAAAAAAAAAATTTGTTATGTATACAATGTTTAACTGTAGTATAGGGTACAGTAGGGTATGTAGATTGATTTTTATAGTTAATTAAATGGTGTATGATAATATCCTAAGATTATTTTAATAGGTATTCGGGTCTTAATTATACGTTAATTTTGATGGTTATTTGTATATTTATGTAGGAGTTCCAAGTGATTTCGAGGAGGCGTCGTGATTGTATTCCGATAGTCTTTCGGATTTGTGTAAGTGTTGTGAATTTGTACATTATTCGCTGCGTATTTTTCATATAAAAATATATTAACTATGTGTAAGTTTGTTCTGGTGGAATATATCCTTTGTTATGGTTTGCTCGATACTATTTGTTGATTGGTTTGATTTTGTGATGCTCATGGATATTTTGGTATAAGCCTATGCTTATTTTCTTTATCAATTTTTTATGATTTTCATATAGTGGTAGGTTGAGATGCATATGTGTTTGATTTATTTCACTATTGGTTGGCCTTTGGCATTTTTGTATAATGTGATTAGCTTTACGAACTTTGTTTATTGTTAAAGCATATGCATCTCAGGTCAATATACCGGTATATGTCGGATATAAGCAAGTTATTAAAACAAGGCTCAATGTGCCTCTATGAGGTTTCTATTTTAGCGCTAAGAGCCCAAGTTTGGGTCTCACCGTCCCTACCACGGGCTTTATAATAGTGGGGTTTGCCAAGTCAACCGGAGTATCGAAGTGTTGACCGCATTGAGACGTGACCTGCTTATTTCCATTGCATTTATATATATATTTTAAAATGTTGCATTATGAATTTTTACTATTTTAGTAATTTGTTTTCCCAGTAACTTTATTTTAGTTTTGCAAAACCAGTGTTTAATGTATGAATTTATCCACTTATTGAGTTGTGAACTCATTGTGTTATTTCTATTCTTTTCAGAGACTCGGGATTAGGTGGAATTGAGGATTGTCAAATTCTTAGAACGAAGCAAAGAATAATTCGAGATTGTTATTGTCTTCTAGGCGAAGGTTAAATAAAGTCTTTAATGTTTAGATGATGAATTGAGAGTTTGTAATAATGAGATTCTTTCTTTAGGTTGAGATTTATTTGGAGTTGAGGAATATTTATTTTTTATCAAGTTAATCGGCTTAGTTGAGTTTTGGGATTATAGAGAATATTTGTTGTTGGTTTTAGTTCAATGAAGAGATTTGTTCTAGTGTTCTTTTAATGAATGTATATTTTGGAGGACTTTTCACAGGTTTAGTCCGGCTCTAATATTCCTTTGAGGTTCGGAAATTGGGGTCGTGACAGATGCAGCCGGTTTGGATTAGTTGATTTTGATAGGGGTGAGATTGTTTGGACTCTCATTCGGATTCCCGACTTGTTATGGATTAAGTCCGTTGTTGTGAATTATTTCACGGCGTACTGGACACAACAAGTGGGACATTTGGTTGCTTTGGTGTCGGCTCGGTTTTGGGAAAATTTCGCCGAGGTGGAGAATTGTTGGGAAACACGTGGGGACCACCACGTGCATGATGCGAAGCAGCAAAGCACCAATGAAAGGCTAGGAACGTGGGGCCCACCCACTCAAATGGTTTTTGAACGCGTGAACGAGGCTATGAAGAAACGCATGAACGTGGGGGGCCAAGTTCGTTTTGGCCACAAGCTCGCACGATTCTCCGGTTATATAAAGGAACAAATATTGTTCCTAGGGTTTTAGCGCAAAGGAGGTTTGGTTGTTTTGTGCGGCTGTGGAACAAAAGCAAACAACAGAGGTGATTTTTTTTTGCTACGAAGAAAAAGAAAAACACAGAGGCGTTCTGTGTCGACTTTGAGAGTTTTGAGCATCCTTTTGTAGAGAGATATTGTGAGGGATTTGAGAGTTTGTTTGAGGGTTTAGGTTGTGAGTGATTATAAACCCTAGTTGTAATCTCTCCCTCTAATAGTAGATCTCCCCCTCCTTGCCCCGTGGACATAGGCAATTTGCCGAACCACGTAAAATTAGTTGTATCGCTATTTGTGTGATTTGTAATAGCTTTTAGGTTCCCTCGACAGGTCAGTCCTAGAACTGATGAGAGGAATAGCTGATATCTCACTTGATTGGGATATTTTGCTTAAGGTTCTTGTTTCCTTTGTGAAGCATGATTTCCTATTGCGACCTGACTCTCTTGTTGTGCTACCGAAGTGCTGCCGAAATTTCCGCTACGCGCAACATACAGCGCCCCTCTTCCGAGCAATTCGCGTGCCTTTGGTTTTAGCCATTCGCGTGCCTTTGGTTTTTCGTAACGCGTACAGTCACCCAGAGTGCTGCTCAACAACGCATACAAATTTACTGCGGTTATTCTAAAGGTTTCTATTTACCATCTAATTTGTCATACTATTTCATTGTTATTAAACCCTGTACTGTACAGAAACATTCCCAACGCAGGTTCACATATATACGTACAAAGGTTATCAACAAACAGATCTGATGGGGTCCAGTTTCAGGAGGAGGTTGGCATGGGCTTACAGAGTTGACAATAGAATAAAGACGTGGAATTAACTGAAAAGAAGACTACTCATATGCTGTTGGAAGCTTGAAAGTGTCTGCCGCACCAAACTTTCTCTTCGCTTCGGTATCCTCTTCTGACTCTCCACTGCTCGAATCCTCATCCTGCTGCCCAGAGGAAGGGGAAGAGGGATCATTGATACTTTTAGACCTGCAGTTAAGGGTTGCAAGCATGTTCACTTGTCCGAGATGGGAGATCTCAACCACGACCTTATCATCATCTGCAGGTAATGGCTGCTTCCAAGGCTCCCCATCAAGTCTCATGTATGTATGTTCAGCAGCTCCCTTATGGAACTCAAAGCGAACTCCACGTGCCTACATATAGGGTTGAAAATTTAAGATATGAGTTCTGTTCCTTGAGGCTGGACCTGTTAATTTTCTGTAAGGTGTAGATACTAATATGATTCTTTAAAACTCTCAGTGCTTTTCTTACCTGTGCAAGACGAGTCCCATGTCCTTTAGGAGTAAGTAGAAGCAAACCCTGCCAAGCATCTCTAAAGCCCACAATCTCGATAAGTCCATCATCAACAAATGGTGCAGTTAAATCTCTCTGCACAATTAAATAGTACACTTTTCACTTCGAAGATTACTGTAAAATGTTAGTTAAGCAAATCACAATAAATTTCTTTCTTCTTGAGATAACGGGGAAAAAATCTCATGAACGAATTTTAATTATGATATTGAACAAATGACGAGGAGAAAGGTAGACCTACATCTCGTGCTTTCCTCTTGCTTGGTGTTCCCCACGGATTGAATCCTCCAGAAAAGCTAGGTAAGTTGAGACAAATGATTGACCTGATGCTGCAAAATTGCACCTTTTTAATTAATAGCTGAACAAGATTTAGACAACTAAATAGTGGAGTTACGCACAGAGATCAACAACATGCTGCTACAAGAGCGAGGCCAAAAGGACAGGCTCATTTCAAAACGAAATACGTACGTAACAATTATTTACCTGTGAGAAATGTTGAGTTTTTCCCAGTAGCCAGGTTTTCTCATGACCTTTATAGTTGCAAGCTGAGCGATGTTCCTGTGCTTAAACTCAATTAGTTTAAAATATACTTTACATCAAGCATGTTCATCAATAATATTGGAAACCAGGAGGTGTGGAAGCTAGCAGCATGTACCAGATCCTATATGTTTGGAGACAATAGTATTTCCTAAGAAATTCTGACCCACGGATGTGGCCTTTTCTTTGGAGGGTGAAGCTGGAAATTTCACCTCATTTCCTGTTTAGTGAGGAAGTTCCTTTTTTCCACTCCTTTAAATGGTGATTCCAGACTTTCTTAATGCCTTTTTACGCACATCTACAAATAGTAAACCAACTTAGGTTTATTTGCAAGGTTATTAAATTTGAAGAGATGCCCTTAAGAATCTTTATATCATTCAGTTACTCTATTGTTCTGTTTTCATATTATCCTATTTCTCCCTGTCAAAACTGGTGTTGCTTCAATTACTTTAGCACATATGAGGAAGCTAACATCTGAAATCCCTCAGTGACAATAACAACAGAGCTACTAACTCATTCCCATATTTCTGCGTGCATGCATGTTCTTTTATATATATAATCCAGATGATACGGATGAAACAAATCAACAATATGCCTACTAGAAAAGCTAGCAGCAGGAGCAGGTATATATACTCAGATCATGGATTTAAATTAAGATGGAAGATTTTACATGAAACTTAAACAGTAACAGCTCATGAGTTGAGATCTATATTACAACTTCACACGTTGTGGGACTGTTTTTATAGGTGCCTTGAGAATGTCTTCTGGATTGTGGTTGTGTCACAGTCAAACATCATTTTTTTCTTGGCGTCCTTTCGAGGGAAATGCAGGAATATCATCTTGATCTGCAAATCAGTTTTTTAAAGTGGACACAGAAAGTTGACTTATGGAGGTATCTCTAATCATTTTGAAGAAAGTTTGCAATACAGGGTTGACAATAACAGCAAGGAAGGGAAATCCATAGTAGTCAGAAACTTGCAAACATCTCTGGAATAACTCCCGGATAACAAATGTGATAGTCATCAACATAAGTCATAGCACATGCACATTCAACTATAAAATAAAGAATCAGAAAAACAAAGTCGTACTGACCTTGAAGAAGTCTGAGGAAGAGAGGGTAAAAACCATCCTTGTGTCAATCCAAGTTTAGCATAGGTACTCTGTTAAAGGCAGAACAGTTGATTAGCCCTGTCTTTTTAGAAATTTGTTTGATACTAATGACCTATATGTGATACCTAACTTTAACATGATTTTTGATATGTTTATTATAAGAAAAATTAAAAGCAGAAATATCACAGGTTAGCTTCTAATGGGATTCTTCGTTCTAAACAAACGAAAGAGAAAATACCTGATTAACCAACTGATTCTTGAACTTCTCTGGATGAAGCTTCCTCTCAGAATGAAATGCATATGATACTTGAGCATCCATTCCTGTAAAAACATGCTAAATATTTAACTTCTCACAGGTCTGTAACTTAAGCTGATAGGCAATGCAAATTCTATAGCTTTAAACATGTTTAATTTTCTCCTTTCTCCAAAATTCTACCAATGCACTTTGAAAGCGACTGTCCAGATAAGATCCAACACTGTTCTCAAATGAATATGTAGTGCACAAGGCAATAGTTACAAGTGCTCTGACAGATGTTATAAACAAGACAGCAAAAATTGATATTTGATTAAAAAGAAAGTCGACAGATTGCTAAAGGAAAAGGTCCATTGTGACATTTTCTAATATCCATTAAAGATATAGTCGTGGAAGAGGATGGCAGCAATTTGAAAGATTGAAATGATTCTAGATGAAATAAGGCAAAACCAATACATAAGGGGAGACACAAGAATCACTGGTTTGGCATGCACCCACTGGGAGCTGGAGGGGGGGAACATCATCTTGCCAATGGACATGTTGACCTAAAGGAAGTAGTAGCGCAACACTATAGAGAAATATTAAAAGGGATCATGAAACGTGAGAATTGCACTAGACATGATTGAAGAACAGAGGCAAAAATCATTTCCAGGCAGTTAGAATTTTAGATTTGTAACAATGTCACAGCAATCTTAATATAAAATATACTGTATGTACAGTAATAACTGTGATTTCAAAGAAGAATCTATGGAGAAGATTTAGATATTTGGTTCTGGAGAAATCAAGTGGTGTAGAATTAAACTCTTACCCATACTGAAATAATTCCAGAATCCCCCACGAAATGTGCAATAACCATTCTGAGAAGAGATCAACAGTGGATCAGCAACACAAGCAATTCAATTAACAGTAAAGTTTAATTCCTGTGTTACATAGTTCAAAATTGTATGCTTCCAATTCGTAAACGTGCTTCAAAATTATGCATTACTTAGCACTATGTAGTTAGCAAATATCACAAAGCCCACAGCTCAGCATGTTGTCGGAACCCCAACGTTTTGAGATAGAAGAGAGAGCCAAATAGAGAGAGGTTAATGTGGGCAGGTGGCTGTAAGTAAGTACAATTAGGGGTAAATTAATCGTTATTAAAATATTAGCTTAACAAAAATGAGAAACTCCACTTGATTTTCTAGCAATAGCAGAGAGGGATAAAATTATCAGTCTACATCTTACTGGACGCGTGATTTGGGAAGCAATTACCAAAATATGGAAGATTCGGTGAGTAAAATTAAAAAGCCTAGTATGTACTATTCACCGCAGGTATAAGCTCGAACAATGCACAAGTGACAACAACAAAACCGTGGTACTAAAGTAAAAGCAGGAACCTTTGGCAGCCAAAACATAATAATGAAAGAGACAACAGACAACGCAAGCGAGATAGCAACCGATTAAATAGCCATTTTCTAATGCCTCAAATGTTTGTGAGGAAATTGACTTTTTCACTTTTTCAAAACATATGCTTAATGGTGGAAACCATATTGTATTACCCTATTAAGTGAGTCTGCATTTGGCACACGCTGAAATGCATGCAACGAATGTGGCAGTTCCGGTGGTGCAATCGGATCACAGGAACCTTCCTTGGGGATTCTCATCCTCATCACTATATGCCAACTGAAACATAAAACATAAAGAATTTAGTAACTTCTTGCACATCATAAACCCGATGCCAAAGACAATAATATTAGAAGGAACTACCTATCAATCTTCATTTCGGTAGCCTTTGTCACTTGTTCAAGAAAAGATTTCACAGACTGGCGATCAGTACCGGGATTCTTTTTTCCCTGCATCATAAGCGCAGGCATGAACAATTACAAGGCAGTAACTATGAATCCCTTCATAAGGGTGAATTAACCATGGTTATTTATCTGATACAAGTGGGCACAATAACCATGTGTATGATTGCATGAGAATCACGTTCACAATTGTGCTCTGCATACCCAACCAAATGAAAAAGGAAGGTTGTTTCCAGTTCCCAGTGGCACAGTTGCAACAGGGGGAGGGTGAGCTAGTTTCAGATCGCAAACTACTCCAAGTAGCCAACTTGCTGTACCATCACCTCCTGCAACCTAAAAAAGTATACAATCAAGCTCAGATATGAAACCTTGCTACATAAAGAAGACTGAAACAATCAGTAAGTAACAAATGGAGCAACACAGGTAACTTGAGTAGTTCCTTACTATTAGTCTAAGTCTCTTTTGAATCTCAGCAGCAAGATTATCTCCATCAGACTTGAGTTTTTCCAAATTGCTGTAAAGCCTGTGCAATACCTTGTCAGGAGCTTCCTCCTTTAAATCGAAAACCTGAAAACCACAAGAGATGTATAAATACGAGGCCCGTGCGTATTTACTACAGAAACAGATAATTTTAGTAGCAAGTTATTTATGATCAAAATTTCCTTCTACAGGGTAACAATTACCTGGAGCTCATTCAAAAGTTGACGGTATGTTACAAGCAAATCACCTCCGAGCTGGCCTCCACTCCGGGAGTTGATGAAAACTATGACAGGGCATCCAGGAGTGTAAGAAATGGGCTCTCTTTCTGACTCGGGATCGAGTATATAATTTGGTACGTAAAACTCCTTTAGTAACCTGTTCGTTTCTGAGTTACAGTCGCCCATTCTCGTATCCTCCCTGCAAAATAGATGAAATTTCATTTATTTATTTTTTGTTAGTGCGTGAAATTGCTCAATTTTCCTGCAGATACGTGCACCAAGCAGATCGTTAGGAGAAAGATGTGTTAGAATTCCCTACTATCAGAGATTGAAGAAACAGAATAATTGAATTATTAAGTGCACGTCTAGAAAATAATCTCATTTAGAAACAAATGCAAGTTTTGAAGCGACAAAATCAAGCAATTGAAATAAAACTAGCTCAAGATTCTTCCTTTTGACCTCACATCCTCTACAAATTCAACCGCAAGAGATCGATCAAGATTTATATCCTCACTACAAAAGAAATTCAAAGTTCGCCTTATAGAACTAATCCCATTACGCCCGATCAACCCTACAAGCCTCTTTTTTTTTATTTTTTTAGCCGAAGATTTCTAGCTGATTGAACAAAGATCTAGCAAAACGCAAATGATTTGAAAGGATTGAAGGATTAAAAGCTTACCTGGAGAAGAATTTGGAACCAGATTCGCAGCAGAGATCTGAAACAATTTAGATTCCCAAAATCTCCCCGTGTCAATTAAAATAACTAACTCCCGAAGGGAAAGTTTGAGAACGACAAGGGGAGCAAGTGGAAGTAGGGGTAAATAGGTAATTCTACATTGAGACACGGGAATTCAACGGTTGAAAACTGGCGCGTTTCTTCTTCCGGGTGACGTTGGGTATCCACTGCTCACTACAAACACGAAACACCTTGCATAGCCATTTGCATGAACGCTGGTTGACACGTGTCCTGCCTAATCAGCGGACCTAAAGATGTTTGCTATACTAAGTACAATACTGGATAAGTACCCTGAACGCGTTAGCATCTCGGGTGCGGCCGGTGAATTTGTTTTCCTAAAGTGACCTTCTTCGCTGTTTGACGGCTATTTGTTAGTAACTAGTTTCAAACCCGTGCGATGCACGGATTTCTCTAAAATACAAAAATTACTGTAGCAAAATAATACAAAATAAAACGGTAATAATATGTAAGTAGCCAGAAATGATACAACCTAAGTTGTATATATGTTTGACTTTATATTAAACTGTTAAAAAGAATGAAAATATAATTCTCATATTCTCATAACAAAACTGCTTAAAATGCCTAATGTTTTTATGATTAATGTCAAAATATTTTGTTGTAGCAAGTAATTAGCATGAAGCATAATTTTTAGTTCCAAACAAAATATTCAAAGCACATAGAGATACATGTTAATTATATATATTTGAATGAAAATAATAACTATCAATATATTGATAAACCAAATATCCAGCATAATATAATCATATCAAATATTTAGATTTATCAACCCAAAACCACCAAAATAAATGCACTGATTACAAAAGCTTACTAAATATGTATTCATACAAGAATACTAAATATAAGTTTCATACATCATAAATCAGATAGGTTTTTCCCTTCAAAATGTAGCTTCTACTCTCCGTAGAATCTAGTAATTATCTTTTTCAATTTTGATATGTTTTTCCTTTTTGTTGCTTGACATTTGCGGAGAGATCAAGTCCACTGAAACAGATTGCTCGACATCAGATTCGAACAAATTTCTCTTGCAAGGTGTAATGTTATCTGAGGAACAAATTTCAACTTTTGTATTGTCACAAGTGACAGATAAAGAGACCTGTGTTTCATTATTATAAAATAAAATAATAGTTAGCATGTTAATGAGGTGGTAGGAATAGATGTTCTACAATTAATGTGAAGAATTAAGAAATCATAAGTAAGGTGAAAAGAAGTAGGCAATACAGAAGTAGCAATCTATACTTAATAAAGCCAAACTCATCTGGCAAGGAATTGATCAGTCCATCTAATTTTTCCTTTTCACTCAATGCAGGCTCCTTTTGAACTTCCATTTTAAATAATATATTTCGCATATTTGAAATGTGTTCATCTATTGTCTCATTTCTTTTGAACTTATGTGTCATATACTCTAGCTTGGAAGGTTTGCGATAGGGGAATGCGAGCCTAATTTGATGACCATCCCTTCCCCAGAATGATAATGTTCTTTTTCTTGCTGTTCGTTTCACAATCGCCATCACTAAAAAAATAAAAAAAAATGTATGTTAGTATTTGTGATTAGAATCCTAGATGGGGAAGGGATGACTCCTAGTTTCTACATAGTGAAATGCATAAATTGATGTAGCAAAAGAATAAAAAAAAGAATACGGTGTAAAAAATAAGACAACATATGATCAATAATCTTCTCAGTGAATTTGAGTATTTAAGATAGCTACTTTTCTAATTAATCTATGGTTAAGTTTTTCATCAAGAAATAAAACCATATTTCAATTAATACTCATGGAAGAGATGAAGAATGAGATGTTTGGACAACAGTTTGTACATTATTTACAAACTGCAGTTTGTGTGTAGTTCTTGTCTAAGGGCTTTTAAAAAGTTTTCCTAATAGAATCGTTTGACGATGTTTTCATAACATGGCTAGAAGAATGCATTAACTTTCATTTAATTTAAATATTGTACAACCAGAACCTATATTTCATTTATTCTTTCCTCTCTTTGTATGCTGTGAAAAAATTATGAGCATTTTATTTTCCTTAATTCATTTCATGAGTTGTTATATTAGACAAATGAATAGAAAGAGAAATTTACTGTCAATTCTCCAATTGCCAAACGTTAAATATCAAAAAAAAAAAAATACAGTAGCTAATTTAAATTCAAAGTAATAAATAAGGTCTATTTTACATATCAATATGCTGTCTACTTTATTCTAATATTAATGAGGTAACTAACAAATTCTATAGCAAACTAAGTCCTACTCATTGCTATAGAGTACGCATATTTATGAGTAATACGTTTGCAATATCAATTGGGGAAAAAATGCAGAACAGAGCAATACATTTGCAATTAAAATGCAGAACAGTTCCAAACTCATTGCTGTATGCACAGAGTTACCACGAATGCATAATGAGCAGCTAGTATCAATAGGTTCAAAGATGAAGAACAGTTTCAATTTTGCCCTATCCTTGTATTTTTGGCTTTGCAAGAACCACCTGATAACTTAATTAATGATATGTCAGTATTGACAACTTGATTGTTTGCTATATTATTGAGTTTGTGTTGTGTTAGTGTTTAGAAGTCCTCAGGTCACAACTGACCTCATTATAGAAAGGATGTTATTGTGCAATATTCTCTTAGGCTGAAATACACTTACGTTTGTGGATGACCAAAATTGACATGAAGGATAAGACACAAACAATTATATGTGCAACTTCAAGCTGTTAGGAGTCACAATCTTGGAATAATAAGTTAAATTTGGTCAGGTTGCTTTACACTCAGAGTTCAAGTGGTTAGACCGGTTGAACTTTCAAAAGAAAAAATTTAAATCATGCAAAAATAAGAGAGAAAGAAGGTTGTCTAGGTATTACTTTCATACATCAATCATAAAATTCAAAACCTAAGGACTATGTTATCAGTAATATGAAATATAATAAGCAAGAAGAAACTGCAGTTTGTACATTATAGCGTTTTCCTGGTGCGGGTGTGAGTGAAATTGGAAACCCATGGTAGGGATGAAGAATGAGCCAGAACAAACTGCAGTTTGTACATTATTTACAAACTGTAGTGTATATGTTATTTACATCAAGCAATCACATTAAATACACACAAGAGTCTGCATTATCATACATTCACAAGGTCAGATGTTTGGACAGCTCCTCTTCTTAGTCTTCATATTTTCGTTCACTCCAGTAACAACTTGCGCTAGTAACTCAAAAGAAAAGGATAATAGAAAGTGGTTTTGTAGAAAAGAAACAGAAGTGCAATTATCTTTTTCTACAATAGTTGCTAATTCTACAGACATGTGTATAGAAAATGGTAATTGCACTTCTGTGTACATAGAAAAATGGTATAGAAAGTGGTCAGATGTTTGTACATTATCCTCTTATTTTTGCATGATTAAGTCAGATAAATCTGTACCATTTTCTGTAAAAAGTCAGATAAATCTACAGATATGAGATGTAATCTTTTTAGTGGATTCATTTCCTATGTACTCATCAAATGCTTTGTCTAAAAAATGTGATGAATCCAAATAATTCAGGATAGGCCTGTTAATAAGAGTGCAAGGAAAGTCATCAGATTGCACTATAAATGCAATTAAGTCTCTCACAACAAAAAAACAAAGACAAAACATTGCACAACTAAGCATGAAAAAAAAACAAATACAAAACGTTGTTGTGAGTGGTCAAGATTAATACATGCTCGATGATAACAAAATAGTGGGAATTAGCCTGCGTGATAAGTTTAATAACAGTGAGTACCAATCAAATAAATCAAAGCAATTATGAATCAATTTCAGTAAAGAGTAAAGGTTTGCCGCATGCTCATTAATTTTTGTATATTAAACAAATTCCTCTGAGATCCGTAAGGTCCTTTATGAGTGTAATCACTTTAGTTTACAGATATTAACACAAAATAAATCAAAGCAAATATAGGATATTTCACAATAACTAATAAGAAATTCCCACCAAAAAAACAAATTTCACTCCTTCTGCATATCAACAACATGTTTAAATATCACACTAATCAACTCAGTTAATGTTATCAATTATGCAATAATGTCCAGGTTAATTTTCAAATTTCAAGCATGCCCATTTGCATGCATATTTCAATCAATGTACTCAAAAACTTGAATGCACATCCTATACATAGCATATAACTTATTAGCAATGGTACAGGTTTGTGTACATAGAAAATGGGTAGTAAACTTAAAAATGTTCCGAAAGCAATGGTACAGGTTTGTGTACATAGGATGTGCAATCAATGTACTCATAAACTTGAATGCACATCCTACACATCCTATACATAGCATATTTCAATCAATGTACTCTTTTATAATGTCTTTTGATTAGGGCTCTCTGTCCTACCTTTTTGTTAACTTAAAAATGTTAATTTAGAAATATATATGATATTATTGGCAGTAAACTGCATAGTTATGCCCTTATTCAACCCTTCACTAATGTTGGATATGCACGAGAAAACATGGTTTAAAACTTAATTTATAAGTTCATTCCTCAAAACAAAAAAACAAAAAAAAGAACTTAATTTATAGCAATTGACTTACATTATTAAGCTCGGTTATAGACTTTCAATGAATTTAATGAGGCGTAGTCACTACTACTAATACTATCTCTAATTAAGTTCATAGTCTCCCGTTGTGTTGTTTGAGTCTTAATTGTCGTTGTTGTTGATTATTTTCTTTTATGTTCCATTTTTGTTGTATTAACATATAATGAAACACGTGGAATCATCACATAGTGATCATTAATTATCTCTCGCCATCAACATAGGCATAGAAGATCAAGTGAGCATAACACCTCGTAAAAGACATGTAATGAAATTATATAATATCTAATCTTATTTTATTTTTATTATTTTTATGGGAATTA